GAAAAGTGCAACAATGGATGAATGGAAATCCAAAGTGTCTGTAAATTTTCATTGAAATTAATAATAAATTTTTTAAAAACCCAACAAAGTATTGTGTATAATTTTGCTCTTTCTTTTGCAAAGCCCATAGTCCTCCAAGTCATTCTAACTCATAATGACCTTGTAACACCGAATTGAATGCTCTATAGGGTCTCCAGGGCTGTAAATGTTCATGGGGACAGTCAGCTTCATCTTCTCTCACAGCTCACCAGAACCTTCAGGTTAACAGCCCAATGCTTAGTCTACTGCACCACCACAGCTCCTTTGGTGCTTCTTGCATGTTACTTGCAAAAGCATTGGCTTCTAAAACAAATCAACCAAACTTACTGCCAGTGAGTCCATGCAGATGCATGGTGACCCTCGATCAGCTTTTCCTGAGGCTTACGGTGAGGAGAATGCCCACCTTTGCCTTGCACAGCAGCTGAACCCCCACATTCCAGTCAATAGCCCAACCATTACTTACTAAGGCACCCAGGCTCCTTCTTATTATAAATTGTAAACTCATACCAACAATCACAAAGACTTGGAAGAAATCTTCCTATGTTCTGGGATAACTTTAGAGACAAAGTCCATTTTTCATTATCTTTTCTCTCCGCAAAGTAATGAAAATCTGGCTATTGTTTGTATTTCTGGAACACCTTTGGATTACTTTGTGACTTGACCTATATGTACACCAGCCTGCCAAGATCTGCTGGCCAAAGTAAATTAGCTTTTACAATCCAAAATAGCAAGGTTGAAATACTAGAAAAAGATGAAAAGTGAGTTTTGAGTCTGGAGCTGTGGTTTTTACAAGTTCTTACGCAAGTGTTTCTTTCATAGTCATCCCCCCCCAAGAATTCCAGAGTGCCTACACATAACCACATCTCTATTTGCATATATATTAAAATGATTGCTTAAAAAATTGCCATCAATTCTCACTCTCTGGAACCTTGTAACAGAGTGGAGCTGTGTTCTCTAGGGCTTCCAATGGCTGCTTTTTCAGCATAGGTCCACAGGACTTCCCTCTGAGGAACCTCTGGGTAGATCTGAACTTTCAACCCTTCCTTTAGCAGTCCTGCCCAGGGGCTCTGCTTAAATTATAATAGTGCTATATTTCCAAACAGATTCCTACTTCTAAGGTTGTATAAAAGATTAGGCAAGAAAAAAATTTTTTTAAAAAAACCAGGCAAGGTTTCAATTTGTTATATATAGGGCTGCTATGAGTCAGAGTTGACGACACTTAACAACAACAACAACATAAAGGGACTTAAATTTCCAACGTCTTGTTTCAATGAATGGTGTATTTTTCACAAAGTGATCTCTCTTATTTTACTAAACTGAAGTTACTGTTGAAATTTTAGCCTCTTATCAGCAGCTACTTTCAATCTTACATCTTACATATCATTTTGGATCCGATGTAAAAGTTTCAAGTACTAGACTTCGAGTCTTCAGTTTTGCTTTCTTCTCTCACATCACTAGTTTTTACTTTTCCAAAAATGAGTGATAGCTTGTAAAGTCTTTTTAGAATATTTATGTGTTCAGTGTTACTTCCAACACTAAACACACCTAAAATAATTTGAGGCATGCATTGCTCAATAGGGCAAGTTAAAAAAGAAAAAAGTAAGTAAAAGGAGGAGAGTGGAGGGACAGCTCAGGAGAGGACAACCCATCGAGTCACAAGCAACTCGATGACACGTAACAACAACATGAGAAAAAGTCTAGTGTGGCATCCTAAAATGAATATGAAATAATATGCAGGTAACATTACTGTGACATACAAATTTGGCTGATTGTGGAAAGCTAGTTGTTTTGATGAGCCCTGGTGACACAGCAGTTTAAGTATTGGGCTGCTAATCAAAAGACCAGCAATTCAAACCAATTATCATGGCCACCAGAAAGATGAGGCAGTCAGCTGTCATTATTTACTTCAGGAATTAAGTGGGAGATCACTATGAGTCAGGATCAACTTGATAGCAGTGGTTTGGGGATTTTTCGGTTTTGTTTTGTTTCGAGTATCTTTTAGAATAATCTTTAGGGAGCATTCCCAAGAACTCCACCAATTATCTCAGTGGAAAGGGAAACGTGATTTTAGAAAGTTGTATGTACGAAGAATGCTTAAACAAGAAGATATAGGGAGAATATTTCAGAAGATTTAAGGATGTTTGGATTATGAGAAGTAACTAAGACTCGAACTATATTCTTCAATGAACTAAGAACCATGTGTGTGTCTGTGTGTGTATTTTAATGCTTCCTAAAAATTCTCACCACTGGACCAATCGGTAGCATCAGGATGAATGGCGAAGAGATTGAGATTGTTCACAGCTTCAGTTTGCTCAGATCCACGGTCAACACTCTTGGCACCAGTAGCCAGGAAATCAAAAACCGTATTGCGATGGGAAAGTCTGCGGTTGGGGACCTCTCCAAAATACTCAAGAGCAACAGTGTCTCTCTGGAGACTAAGGTCCGCCTGATACAGGCCATGGTTTTTGCAATCACTTGTTATGCATGAGAGCTGGACAATGACTAGGGAGGACAGAAGGAGAATTGATGCCTTTGAGCTGTGGTGCTGGAGAAGAGTATTGAATGTACCATGGACTGCCAAGAAAACAAACAGATTCATCGTAGAGAGGATTAAACCAGGCTGCTCCTTGGAGGCAAGGATTCTGGGGCTTCGTCTGACATACTTTGGACATGTTGCAAGGAGAGACAGGTCTTTAGAGAGAGACATCATGCTGGGTAGAGTGGAGGGACGGCGCAGGAGGGGAAGACCCTCTATGAGGTGGATTGATTCAGTGACTGGGGTACTCAGGATGGGTGTGTCGGAGGCAATGAGATTGGCACAGGATAGAGCACGGTTTAGGGCTGTTGTACATAGGGTCACTATGAGTCGCAAACGACTCGACGCACATAACAACAATTGCTTTACTTGTTAGTTTTCCTCTTTCCAGTTTGATTATGGGTTCCGTTTCATATTAATTTGTTCTGCATGACCCACAGTGCTTCACTCGGGCTGGACACATGGCAGGGCTCTCAAATACGCTACCAGAAATTAATGGCGAAGTTGAGTAGTGATGTTCTACAGCTAGAAGATGAGATATAAGGATCCAGTAGTAAGCTAATTAAAAAGAAAGATTCTTTCCTTAGAAAACCATTTCCCAGTACCTGACCTGATAGTCAATCTCGCCTTCGATTTATGCTAAAATGTAGTTACAACCTACAAAGTAACAGAAAAACGAAGGCTTTTATTTAAATAGTCTACTTTCGAGAAGCACTGATTTTTTAAAAAAACCAACCCAGAACGCTGAGGATACGAAACAGGGTGGATCAGTTTGCTTATGCTTTAGAGGTGAGTTTTTTTACGAGATCATGTGGAAAGACTTAATCGTGAAGATTTTTTTCCATTTTTCATGCTCGCAATCAAACACACTTGGGGGGGGAGCACACGACGTAAAGTACCGGCACATTGGACGTCTGGAGAACCGTGGCGACAAGGGTAGACGCGGGACATTAGTTTAAGGAACACGCAGCTGGCTTTGAATGAAACAAGCAAGAGGGCAGCACGCCCAGAACCACACTGGCTGCACGCAGTGCTTAGTGGGGCCTCAGGGCTGAAGCCCGCCCCCTTCCCTCCACAGCCCCGAAGGGTGCGGGGGTGGGGGGGGCACTGTCGGCTCGGGAGCTCGCCCGGGAGCCAGGAGGGGACAGGATAGAGTGGTGGGGGCCAGGGGGCCATGCCCCACTGCCCTTGCAAGCCAAGCCAACAACGACAAAGGAATATTCTGGACACCTTCTCCAGGGTGGTTCCTCGCCGCCCTACCCTGTGTGACTGCAATTCATACAAAAGGGGAACTCAACTTTACCTTTGGGAATCTCAGGGACCGTCGCTAAACTCACACTAATTTAGAAATGCCAGATCTTGGCGACCCCGCCCTCTACTCCCTGTCGTCACTGTCAGAGCCTTTACGGAGCATGTGCGCGATGATGTGTGCCATTCATCGCCATAGGCCCCTGAAGGGTGGGGGAAGGGACGGCAATTGAGCGGGTGCCTGGCGGGGTGGCGCGGGGTAAACTGGGAAGTGCTGTCGTAGGCTGGCCCCGCCCCCTGCCCGGGGTGGGGGAGAAGGATATATAAGCGCGGCAGTCGAGCTCAACGTTCTTTTTCGCAACGGGTTTGTTGCCAGAGTACAGGTGAGCGCTGGCTGGGACTTCCGCAGGCCGGGCCTCCTGGGGCGGGCGGTGGCCCTCACGTGCCTTCAGCCGCTTTCATCCATCTCCTTTACGCGGTTCTTACCCTGAATTTTGGATTTTAAGGGGGTGGGAGAGTTCGAGGCCTGGTCCCTTTTATTGATAAGCCGTCGCCTCGTGCTCGAGTTCAGGCCTGGCCTGGGCGGTGCCGGGGCCGCCGCGTGTGAACCCGGCCGCCTTTCCGCGCCTGGCCGGTTTTCGACGGTAGGTCCCGGCTGCTGTACTCACTTAGCCGAGGCCTCCCCTGGAGGTGGCGCGGCCCCGGTAGGGCAGCCCCTCGACGGCGCTCGGGGTGTTTCGGGGCGGGCGCGCAGGGCGGTGGCGGTGCCCTTGTCACATGGACAGCGCGCGCCCGGGCGGGCGATCGCGGGGGCCTCGTGGCTCCCGCGGCCCGGGCCTCGGCCTCCCCTGCCGGCACCAGTTGCGTGCGCAGAAAGATGGCCGCTCCCGGTCCTCCTGCAGGAGCTCAAAATGGAGGACGCGGCGGGAGCGACGGTGACTCACACAAAGGAAGAGCCTCTGCGCGGGGCCGGCGCCGGTCTCACCCACCCGTTGCGGCCCCTCCTGCCCTGTGGGCACCCCACGTTCAGTGGGTGGAGACGCGAGACTGGGATTGACTGTAATTCCTGGAATTTGACCTTTGGGTCTTGGATCTCTGGGTCGATTTCATTAAGCCTGTCGGTCAGTGACTTACTTGATTATGGGTCTTACTTCATTCTTTTTTTCCTTCCAAGCTTAGGTGTTGGTGAATACCATCGCAATACCTAAGCCAAAATGGGAAAGGAGAAGACCCATATCAACATCGTCGTCATTGGACACGTAGATTCGGGCAAGTCCACCACTACTGGCCATCTGATCTACAAATGTGGTGGGATCGACAAGAGAACCATTGAGAAATTCGAGAAGGAAGCTGCGGAGGTAACGTCTAGAGACGTAAAGGACAGCTAAAATTGGTGGCAGATTGCTAGTAAGGTTGTAAAAATAGGTTTGAGCGCTGTAATTTGTAAAATGGCAGTAAAGCAACGTAGACATTGTAGTAAAGCGAGACCTAGTAGCTAAATTTAAATTAAGCTCAGACATTCATAGTAGTTTTATCTAGTATCAAATTCTAAGTTATTTTCAATCACTGCAGATGGGAAAGGGCTCCTTCAAATATGCCTGGGTCTTGGATAAACTGAAAGCTGAACGTGAGCGTGGCATCACCATTGATATCTCCCTGTGGAAATTTGAGACCAGCAAGTACTATGTGACCATCATTGATGCCCCAGGACACAGAGACTTTATCAAAAACATGATTACAGGAACATCACAGGTTTGTAGTTTTAATACTCTGGAGGAAACCAGATTTTTGAGTTATTAGCTATTGGGCCTATTTTCTACCTAGAAGATTGGTTAGGTTTGGGTGGTGCAAAACTTTTCAAGAACTTTGGTTTAACCAGACTGTTTTTTTTTTGAAGGCTGATTGTGCTGTCCTGATTGTTGCTGCTGGTGTTGGTGAATTTGAGGCTGGTATTTCAAAGAATGGGCAGACCCGTGAGCATGCCCTTCTGGCTTACACACTGGGTGTGAAGCAACTGATTGTTGGTGTTAACAAAATGGATTCCACCGAGCCACCCTACAGCCAGAAGAGATATGAGGAAATCGTTAAGGAAGTTAGCACCTACATCAAGAAAATTGGCTACAACCCTGACACAGTAGCCTTTGTGCCAATTTCTGGTTGGAATGGTGACAACATGCTGGAGCCAAGTGCTAATGTAAGTGATTTTCAAGACTGTCTAACATGGAAAGTAGCTTGATGTGTATGTTTTAAGTACTAATTGGTAGCTTTGTGTTTTAGATGCCTTGGTTCAAGGGATGGAAAGTCACCCGGAAAGATGGCAGTGCCAGTGGCACTACACTGCTTGAAGCTTTGGATTGCATCCTGCCACCAACTCGTCCAACTGATAAGCCCCTGCGTCTGCCTCTCCAAGATGTCTACAAGATTGGTGGTAAGTTGAATATTGGTGTATTAGTTTTGAGTGAAATAACAGTATTAGAAGCAAGTCATGTAACTATAATACTGTATCTTAACAATTTTAGGTATTGGTACTGTCCCTGTGGGCAGAGTGGAGACTGGTGTTCTCAAGCCTGGCATGGTGGTCACATTTGCCCCAGTCAACGTTACCACTGAAGTAAAGTCTGTTGAAATGCACCATGAAGCTTTGAGTGAAGCTCTTCCTGGTGACAATGTTGGCTTCAATGTTAAGAACGTCTCTGTGAAAGATGTTCGACGTGGCAACGTGGCTGGTGACAGCAAAAATGACCCACCCATGGAAGCAGCTGGCTTCACTGCTCAGGTAAGGTTTACAGTTTTGAAATTTTTTATTAGATGTTACCAGTTACTGCAGAAACAAACTCAGATTCAAATGCTTAAATCTATTTCAAGGTGATCATCTTAAACCATCCTGGCCAAATCAGTGCTGGTTATGCACCTGTGCTGGATTGTCACACAGCTCACATTGCTTGCAAGTTTGCTGAGCTCAAAGAGAAGATTGATCGCCGTTCTGGTAAGAAGCTGGAAGATGGCCCCAAATTCCTGAAGTCTGGTGATGCTGCCATTGTGGATATGGTTCCTGGCAAGCCCATGTGTGTGGAGAGCTTCTCTGACTACCCTCCTCTGGGTAAGAATTAGTTTTCTTGCAAATTATATAAATGGTTGTCTTTGCTTTTTGAAACCACATACATGTTTCATGATTACTTTGACTTCATAGGTCGTTTTGCTGTCCGAGACATGAGGCAGACTGTTGCTGTGGGTGTCATCAAAGCAGTGGACAAGAAGGCTGCTGGAGCTGGCAAGGTCACCAAGTCTGCTCAGAAAGCTCAGAAGGCTAAATGAATATTACCCATAACACCTGCCACCCCAGTCTTAATCAGTGGTGGAAGAACGGTCTCAGAACTGTTTGTCTTAATTGGCCATTTAAGTTTAATAGTAAAAGACTGGTTAATGATAACAATGCATCGTAAAACCTTCAGAAGGAAAGGAATGTTTTGTGGACCATTTGTTTTCTTTTTCGTGTGGCAGTTTTAAGTTATTAGTTTTTAAAATCAGTACTTTTTAAATGGAAACAACTTGACCAAAAATTTGTCGCAGAATTTTGAGACCCATTAAAACAAGTTTAATGAGAACCCTGTGTCGTCTTTTGGTCAATGCATAAACTTTGCAGAAACTACTTGATGCAAAAAGTGCTCCTGTAGTTAATTCAACCTGTAAATGATCTTAAAAGGGAACATTTAAGGTTTTAAGGAGAGGATTGGGGAGTGAAATTAATTGGAACATACTAATACAGAAAAGGTGCTCTGAGAAGTTTATGTAATGCAGAATTTGGTTTCATGTAAAAAAAGGTCACCAAAAAATTCCCTAAAGAACTGGGTAACAGGGAAAGGCACATCCTTTACCTAGTTCTTGAGCAAAAGTTTAGTGTTAATGATTTAATTGTAGGTTTGACAGCTGCAGGAAAGTTAGATGAAGAAAGTTCAGCTAATTATTGGATTTTTGTGAAAGGTGTTCTGATAGTTACATGTTGAGCTACATCTACAATTTGGGTCTAAGTGGGTCGGTCACTTCTGTTTACCAAATTGTTGAAAACTACTCTGAGCTGCTTGTTTGCTATGCACCTGAACCTAAATCTGAGTCTATATTCCCAGGTGGAGCAGTTAAAGGCAAAGCATGCCATGACATTAGGGAAGCTATTTTGGTGTTTAAACCTGATTGCAAACAAGATTCACTCTAAATTTTATGTATTAGCACAGGAAATCTGTATTTTTATGCTTCTGTAGGGACTGCTGAGGCCTAGGGAGTCAAGGTTGGATCCGTAACCTGCTGCTTAGGTCAGCCTCAAATTTACAGCCTTTCAGGGGAGCTCTGGTGGCCTAGTGGCAAGAAACTACTGCAATCCCAAAGGTACACGGTTTGAATCCACCAAATGCTCTGCCAGAGGAGGGACAATTTCCTCCTGTACCAGTCAGATCTGATTTGATGTACATGCACAAAAAATTTTTTTAAAGCATATTTACAGTCTTTGAGAGACCCATTGGAGAGTTACTGTCCACTTGCCAATCATTGGTTAATGATTGTTGTTAAGGGACCCATCCATTCCCAGTGGTAATCAGTTCTGGTGCCTAGGCTTCAAGGAGTTGTGCTAATAAATCACCTGTGGCTGAAGGAGAAAGGTGGGTGTGCAGTATCCAAACTCATTTGAGAAGGCCATGAATACTTAGCTGGGATGAGCTAATTTAACCTATTGCTTTGATGGACATTTGGGTTGAGAAGGTCTTCTGCCAAACCTCCCAAGACCCGACTTGTAGGTGAACTGACACCGGTAACTGCCAGGTTAGAAATGAGCCTAGCTGGACTGAATATTCAGTACAAAGCTATTCCAACCTATCAATGCATTAACTTCAGATACTTAGGGGAAAGGAGTTAACAGGAAAACTGAGCTGGGCTACTGCGATGGGCTTAAGCATGGTACAGGAAAGGGCAAGGTTTTGGTAAGTATGTAGGGTTACAGAACACTGATTGATAGCCCATTCAAAGGCAATTGCCAAACCATAATTAAATAAATTAATTAAATAATTAAATAAATTAATAAAGTAAGTTGTGAAGTCAGCTCTCCTGAGGCTGAATTAATGCAAAATGCATTTGAAATGCTTATCAGTACAAGATGAGATCTAAATGATTGTAGCAGCATTCTTCATAAGAACATGAAAACAGCCCAGTTAACCAACAAATGCTCAGAAATTATGGTACATTCACACAAGCATGTACTAATGATTTTTTAAAATTACCTCACTTGGGAGGGACTTGAGCATTTTAAAGTGAACTCTGTCACATAAGGATAAACGCATAAACTGGTAAAAGGTTTGGGGATTAAAGGGGAAGAGTATTGATGGAGGGGCGTTATTAATAGGGTTGCATGATTTGATGGGTGGGCAAAGGAAATGGGAAAGATCAGGTGTGAAGAAAAATGTATACAAACTTGGTAAGTAAACCAGTATTAAAAAGACCTTAATCTGGTGAGCTGGTCTGAATCCTGTTACTTTAGTGGGCGGGGCTGAGAGTAGTGGAGGTTGGACTGTCCATGGGAGGGGACTAAGCACCGCCATGGTGCCACATCATGCACCATCCCTTTTTTTTTACCAGATAAGACACCTTTATTTCACCCTGATTATGCCATGATTCATAGGGAATAGGTTCCAGCAGCTCGGGCTCCTTTCCATTTGTTCTCACAAAGTGTGCACCATCCCTTGATAAAGGAGAAAGGTGAGGCTCTTCACAGCGTGCCAACTGAGTTAAATGGCCAACTGAAAAACCTCATTTTTAAAAAATGAGGTCTTAAAGCAAATGCTGTAGACACCCTGGCCCTAGTTTTCCATGTTTGCTTTAACATTAGGCTCCTTTTCCCCAGTCATTCAGTCCTAGCTAGAGTGCTTTGCGTGGAAACCAAACTGGAATTAGTGTCAAAAACCAAAACCACACAACCAAACAAAAAACTCTTCATTGCGACCCAAAAACCGTCGTTCTGACTCAGCTGACCTATGAGATTCATAGCTTCGCAAACTGAACAGAGCTATGTCAGACTGGAAGGCAGTGGGTGTCTGTGATACAGCTGCTGGATTTACAACCTCGTCCCAAAGATGTCATGGATTCCCACCTAAGTGAAGGCTAGGAAGTAGCGAGGAACAACCAGACTGGCCTAAAGGTTCAGTTAAACTGCAAGTTAGTCATTTCCTCAAAGAGCCGGATGTGCATGTTTGTAGGGACAATCTGGTTTGAGCACCACCTGCTGGTAATTCGAAGTCACAGCTAACAACCCAAAACCACTGCTGGGGATTTGATGCCGCATAGGGTTTGCAAGGCTGTAAACCTTTACAAGATTAGAAACAGCATCATCTCATGAAGTGGCTCGTACATTCTCACCGTCAACCTATGGTCAGCAGCTCAGTACTTGAACCACTGCACTACCAGGGTTTCCTGAACAATCTAAAATAGCATTTTAAATCTACCATTTATCTGAGTTTGACTTGTACTGTTTCTGAACTAATTAAAAGCAATACATTTTGGAGTGAGTTTCTAGAAATATCATTTTGCAGTAAGACATGCCTATTCATCTGCAGAAACTCAGTTACTAGAATCCCTCAGTGGTTATTTAGTGCGTGGCTGGCTGGCCAGCTATTCATACTGGATAATTAAGTTAGAGTCAGCTCCACAGCACCCTGGTGGTCCAGTGGTTAAGGTGTAAGATTAAGAAGGTCCAACCATACTACTGAAAGATTTGCTGTTCTAATCAGGCGTTGCTTTTCACAGCACTTGCACTGCTCCTTTTCACATCCAACCCTATAGTTTGGGGTTTTTTTATTTAGCACCATCTGCATTGGACATGTTGTAAGGAGAGACAGGTCTTTGGAGAGGGACATCATGCTGGGCAGAGTGGAGGGACGGCGCAGGAGGGGAAGACCCTCTCTCTATAAGGTGGATTGATTCAGTGACTGGGGTAATCGGGATGGATGTGTCAGAGGCAATGAGATTGGCACAGGATAGAGCAGGGTTTAGGGCTGTTGTACATAGGGTCGCTATGAGTCGCAAGCAACTCGACAGCACATAACATCTGCATCAGTCACCTCCATGTTATTTGTCAGTCTCTGGCGACTTCCATATTGGCTAAGACAATAATTAGAGCATAACTCTTAAAAATACATACAGTGATTTGGAAGAGGAAAAAATTACACTTCCCCCCCCCAAAAAACAATTAATTAGCTGACTTCTGGAAAATTGTTGACCTTGGATTTGCTAGAAAACCTTGAGAATTTTATTTTGTTCTTTGTTTTGTAGAGGTTATGCTGTAACTCAGATGACCAATAAGTTATACTTGAAATGACTAAAATGAAAATTATTTACCTTGGGCAATGTGTAGCAGGCCCATAGATTTACATTTAATGAATTTTTAATGAACATTTACAGGGATTTTGGGTTTTCATTCCTTCATTGCTGCACCATTCTCTCTACCCTCCTCCCCAGTTTGTTCTTCTTCCCCGCCATCCGAATGTCTGTTTTAATTGTCCAATTGCCACAGTGTTTGTCAAAGTCAGTTCTGATTAATCTCCTTTGTCGGTGTGTACTTTGCCATTCCCTATCACTCCTCCCTGAGAGAGACTTCACCCTGAGTCATAAGGAAAAGGGGATGGCGTATTCTCTTAGCTACTTCCTGCTGAAAAGGGACGCTGTGGGTTTCAGGGTGAAGATCTTCTCTCACTACTCTAAAGGGCCCCTTTGGCAGTAGGAAACACATAGACTATTATGGAGATTGATTTTGGCATTTAGATGCACTCTTATTGATTGTGCTTGGCCGTACATGTTCATATCCTTGAAGATGTATCATGGGGGTGTTGCAACCTAGAAGACACAAATTTGACTAACAAGTTATAAGTACATGAGTCCAAAAATTATGGAAAAGTAAAAGAAAAGATTCTTTCATTGTTTTACAAACCCTCCCCCAGGTCCCCTCCACCATGTAGCCCTCGCTCTAGACTCCTGTGATGACAGAAATACCTAGTCATATATCTCTTTTAAACAGTTTTCTCCCTCCTCTGTTTCAGTGCAGTATACATTATTGAACCCATCTTACTCAGTCTCTCCCCAACCCCGAGGTTAGTCCCATTCTACAACAGTGGCATCATGTAATATTTGTCCTTTTGTGACTGGGATATTTCACTCAGCATAATGTTCTCCAGAGTCAACCATTTTGAATAATATTGCATGAGTTCCTTGTTTTTCAATGCAGCATAGTATTCCATTGTGCGAATATACCACAGCTTCTCTAGCCATTCGTTTGTTGATGGGCACTTAGGTTGTTTCCAACTCCTTGCTATTGTGAACAAAGCTGCAATAAACATGGGTGTGCATATATCTGCTTGGATGTCAGCTATGGTCTCTTCAGGGTATATCCCCAGTAATGGAATTGCTAGGCCAAATGGTATCTCTATTTGCAATTTTTTGAGAAAGCGCCATACTGCTTTCCACAGGGGTTGCACCATTTTACACTCCCACCAACAGTGAATCAGGGTTCCAGTTTCTCCACAACCTCGCCAGCATTTGTTGCTTGATGTTCTGTTAAATTTTGCTATTTTGA